TTAGTCCACATAGTCTAAAGGTTTTGTGTTTCACAATACTCTCTTGTTTATCATTAACTAGCTATTAATGCTATTACGTAGGCATGCTATTTATTTAGTAACAGTATGATTTGATTAATATGTGGAAGCAGTCCTAATTTATATTTATTTGACTGATGGAGTTGAATGAGGTTATTGCAAGAGCATTACTACTCTATATAGTATTCGCAGAAAATATATGGTCCGATATTTAAGATTTGGTATTTCCTTGGTAGGAAGACAAAACTATCATATTCAAGTAACATGGTTTATGTAAACATCTACTACTATAAGACTAATATGACGACAATCTTGATCGCTTATAAGTCAACAGAGAAATTGTTTGTTTAACTACGAAGAAATTTATGATGAAAACTAATCTTACTATTAGTGTAGTTTAACATGATTGTTAAGCAAAAAAAAGGTTAAGATTATGAACTATTCGTTCGAGTAGAGTTACAATTACAGTCAGAATGGTCAGGGTCAGCAATGCTATTGCTTAAGTATATTTTCAAAGTGAGCAAATACATTTTTTGTGAAAAGTGATTACAACCACCAAAAAGCGAACTCTACTTGAAATCATCTCAAATATAATCTCACGAGCAGATATTTCCTATTTAGCCTAAGTAGCATGTCACATCTTCTGTACAATTGAAGGAAAGTTATCATTTAGAGATTTTAAGTGCTTCAAGGACATATTATCGGCCACTCCACTGAGATCTTATTGAACCATGTTATTTGAATGAAATGACCATTTCTTGAATACGATGCATCAGTTTTCCTACCAAGGAAATACCAAATTTTAAATATCGGACCATATATTTTGTAAGAATACTATGTAACGTTCAACGTTGATAACTTCGTCACTTAGAATAACCGATTAAAATTTTGCTAACCCGCGTCTGTTTTGAACGATGGACGATACAATCTAGACAATAAAATTAATATTGGGTTAACTCAAGTTACTATTCTATTGGTCACGTATGTGCAAGCCTTTCTTCATCCTCAACCTTGAGCTACAGAGAAGTCTGCAACCAGGCTTCTAATCTCACTCATTATCTTATAGACGGGAACATTTACTCTACAGCACAAAGAATAAATGATACATTACACATAATCATGAAACAAAAGGCATCAAGATAAACAAACGATACACAATTAATGAGTAGTAAAGAATGTAATGATTATCTGAATATTAGAATCGATATTTCAGTTATTTCTACAGATAAGAAGTTGAATCCACTGTTATGCATCCTGTCAGGAAGGATTAATTTATTTACCCGTTCACCAACTTCTTGGGTACGAATCTCACTCTCATCAGTGTAATGGTAAGTGATCCTCTCAAGTTTTCCAAAACCTGGTGGCTGTAATGGGGTTCGAATATGGAATTTAGTAACAATAGGAGATTGGTCAAAAGCCCAACAAAGTGATCAAAGTTATTCAATCACTGCAATATTTGAGGTAAATATCACAATATCAATAAAATCTAGCCTTATTTAGTAAATAAGAAAAATACAACAGTTGATTCATTCTAGTATGCAGAAACATAGAAATTTAAAAATCATTTAAACTACTACCATAGTATTCCAGTATGTTTATTTACGAAAGAAAATTAGGCGACATTAATTAATATCAGAGAGAGAAAGTGACGCAAAATATTTTGGACCCGTTGGCCAGATACCATCAACAACGACCCACTGTGGGAGAGAACAAACCAGACTCCAGCGGAGGAGGAAATCAGAAAGAAACGCTGGGAGTGGATAGGACACATATTTCAGAAAGTATCCAACTGCGACATAAGACAAGCCCTCATTTGAAACCCTCACGGTCAAAGGAAGAGAGAAAGGCCAAGGAACACATTAAGCCGAGCAATGAAGACAGACATGAGAATAATGGACATAAATTGGACGGAACTAGAAAGAGAGACCCACGACAGAGTAGGCTGGAGAAAAATGGTCGGTGGACTATGCTCCACTGGGGGTAACAGGCGTGGGTAAGTAAGTAGGTAAGTAAGATGACTTTATGTAATCGGTCATTATAATAAATGAAAGGTTTTTTGAGGATTAGCTCCGCTCTTAAAGGCCCTTAGTGGACACCCTTACCAAAAGAGACGGAAATCCGTGAGGTGTGAGATTTTTATGGTCGACCTTTTCTAACCCTTCCTTCCTTGTGAGAAGGCAGCATCGCTGCAGATGCTGGTTGTCCGAGGGAAACACCTTACTGCTGTCACACCCCTCTGCAGTCAGCAGTACGACTTCGCCCTCAGACCTTGGGTAGCTGCTTTTAGTCTCATCGTTCTCCAATCGACCTGTCTGGTATGGTAAAATCGTCAGCAACATATGTATTTGGACATTATTCAAAATTTTTAGCTGCTTTCATTTAGTAGATTATCGGAGTTTTCGACTTATTTTTCTAAATCCATACCTTCTGCATTCAATGTTCAATTAGAGTATACCAGCTTGAGTCAATTAAATATGAAATTGTCAGATACTAATTTCTTCCCAACTTTTTGCATGTCACAGTGTAAGATAAGAACGATATCATAAGAAGTAGGATGCTATGAAGTAAATTTCTTCTCGTTTTTTTATGATAATTATTTTTACCAAGAAGCTAATTTCATTTCAGCTTCCTGACATTATTCTGTAATTTCAAACAAAGTCGACAAATTTCACAATTCACTTGAAAATGACTCTTGAGTAATTTTTTTTCTTTCTTTTAATTTAGTTTTGTCTATTTTTTGCATAGAAATTTCCTTTTACCAATTAATTAATTTACATTGTTGTAAGCACAATACATTTCTACTTACAGGAATAAATTAAATTAAAACTTGGAAAATTAATTCATCAATCGATAATTACAATTAGTTGGATGATCGGTTTTTTTCTCGTCTCAGGTTGTAGTGGTTTATTCGGTTACTTATTACATTCTAGGCCGATGGCATTTAAAATTGTAATGTTTACAAGTATCAATATAGTAATTTCGTTCCAGTTTTCCAAAAGTTCTTGGTCAACAACAATCTATACTCCATTGACCTTTGTAAATCATGCTCAATTTACTAACCAATCACAATTTACCAGAATAAAGGAGAGAAGATGAGAAATTTATGTACTTTCAAAAAAAGTGAATATTGAATTGATTAAGGTTAACAGCAGATTTGTCGGTATTATTATTTAAGTCAATCTACGTCTGAAACAACACCTCTTTCATATGACTCTTGACTATTTCAACTTTTAAAACCTTTACAAAATCGAATGTAAACTTATTTTAATACTTAGTCATCATTAATATGAAAGCGTAGAAGAAATAGTTTGCACAGTGTTTCGCCTAATGATTTTAACCGCATCTTTAAAAATACATTACAAATCCTGACAATTGTTCGTCGAATTAACTTCAAAATCTCACTTGAATGGAACTGATTCATCGGTGGAGTAATATTTAGGTGTTGATTCACTCAATAAACTTTGTGTTCTTTCAGTTTATTGCTTCTATCCATTCACAAGCGACGACATACTCGTCGATCATATTTCAAGGAGAGCAGTAAATACTTAAAATAGCGTTTTACATGAATGAGCTATTGAATTCACCATATTACAAGTATGATATAATTGCTGCGTGATTAATTGACAAATTAGCTATTTTTACATTCCAACATTGAACAGTAATAAGAAAGCAATGATAATTTGTACACATGAGCAACGTTGATCTACTTCTCTTTCTTTCGGATGTACAAAGTTTTCTCATGTTATTTTGTGTATACTTACTTACATATTGACCGATAAAGATGTTATTCATCTCATTTCAAACGATTTAATCATACTGTCTGTCACTTCTCTTTAGAACTTCCGAGTAGAGAAAATGCACAGCTGTAGAAAACACGTTTCACATCAACAAAAAAGCAAGTCTTCTCTTACTAATTGAAAGGTGTTAACATTTCATCTAACCGTTCTCCACAATATTCTCTTTATTAATTTATCAATTATCACGGTGAACTATGAGTTCAGCATCCGTATTTACAATTCTTATTATTCTCAACGCACATTATTCACTTGTTCTATCTTCTCTCTTTATTGGTTAATTAACTGAAATCAGTTAAGTAGTATTTGCATCTGTTATCATACACATATGTGCTTATTGATCCATACTTCATTGTTACCTGTGATAATTTTTCATACTACCCACATACAACAGCAGAGAAATTGAATGATTTGAGGTGAGAGTAAGGTTTCGTTTGTTTACGTTAATTAACACATTCCATTAGGTATGTGTCCGACCGTATGATGAAACTCAAACTTATGCGTATTTAGTATCATTTGGATGTTATTTCTTCAACCTGATGAACATTATCGTGTAGTTTGGAGCAGCAGTATACGAGTAATTAGATGCAGTTTTCAGTATCAAAGGTTGGAACACGCGAAAGATGGTTATAGGTATTTAAATAAAAGCCCCACACATAGACAGAATTAGTAGTAAAAAAAAACACAAATTTATGCGTTTAATCAAGCTGAACAATTGAGAATTTAGTACACATACAGAAAATAGTGATGTGGGAGTGCAAAATTGAAAATACTTGACTAAAGTTTGGTCCCCGCCCCCGACACACGAAAAAATATCAATAACATAAGTAAAATCTGATGCAACGGCGAGGTTAATCGACATTCATGATTAAACATCTAAAGCAAGTAAGTGTGTTGATCAGACCACAATTTATAATAAATGTCAAAACAAAGCAAATGGTTGTAAAAAGAACATATAATATGAAGATGTGAGAATAACAATTGGAAGCGCAAGTTTCTGTGTATAAATTTCAAGAGTATGAACGGCAATCATATTTATGTATATATCAGCACATAAAGAGTAGTATGTGCTTTCATCATTATACATCGTGATAAGAAACGAAAAAGTAGAAAAAATTGAAGGTAAAGTAATACAATTAGTAAAAACATGCACTCATATACACACGTAAATAAAAACTAATTTGTATTTTAAGAATCTGCAGACTTCTTAGTAACATTAATACACCATTCCCAGGTGATGTAGTCTGTTTTGTAATCATCAGTGAATCGACTCTTTATGTTGTATACACCACGTGCTAACATACCTTTAGGAGCTTGTTCAGGTTCTGATGTCCAGATATGTGCCTTTGATTGTGGACCATAACTGCCGAGCATTACGGATAATTTATCAGCTAAGAGAAAAAAGGATAATGATAAATGAGATGCAAGATTAATCACTAGCGTCTTATGTTCATCAATAGCTACAAGTGATTTTTTTTATTATTCTTACCGATTACTGATGGCAAGGAGAGTATCAGGATCGAAGATTTATGAATATTGTCCAATGTCAGGATGGCTCATACCATGGACTAACACTTGAGCCACATGAAAAGTTAATAGACGGAGAAAGAAGAAAAATATGGAATATTATCGTTTTTATTTGAGGCTACTCAGTAGAAGCAGTTCCCTACTTCCCTCATATCGATAAACGAGTAATTTACTTCTAATCACACAATCCAGGATTGCCTAGTACACACTACTAAACTAGGCAACTTTGTCAGATTCAACTGACACACTAAACAAAGCCACTGATAATATATTTCAATCTCTAAATTATTGGATTCCCCCAGAACCTATGTTTGAACCGTACCAGAGATAAAAATGTACAATTATGCGAAAATACGTTAGGTTTATTGAAATAACATCCAACAATGTGAGCAGACACGAAGTAACGTCCATCCTCATTCGCGTTACAGTACACTTGCTCAGAATCAAATCATCCATACACCTCCTAAGAACTCTCTTACCTTCATAAATAAATCTTCATTCGTTCCTTTATCCCCTGGCGCCGCTAAAACAAACGGATCGAGCACACCAAACATTATTCCTGGTTTCTTGAAACTACGCTGTTACATACAAGGCAAAGTGTTTCCCTCGGATATCCGGCATCTGCGGCGACGATGTCTTCTCGTGATAGAAGGGAGAGGCTTGAAAAGGTCGACCATCAAAATGTCACACGTCACCTTAAACCACGGATTTCCATCTTCAGCAGTTGGGCCATTGAGGAGCGGAGCAAACACGTCAACTTCCCATTAGAAAGCTCTATGTAATCGACGTGAAGCAGATGTCCCTTGTGCTTTGAGTTCACACCACCGAGTCGCTAAGACCAAGAGTAAAACAATTTCATTTTCAGGTTCCTTAAACAATATGACCAGCCAAGAAGTGACATCCGCCCTCATTCCCGTAACAACACACTTGCTCAACTTGCTCACAACCAAATCCTTTATACACTTTCTAATAATTTTTTAACTCCACGAACAAACCTTCTTACATTCCTTTATCACCTGGCGCCGCTGATACAAACGTTATTCCTGGTTTCTTGAAACCACACTTTTAACTATAAGCCGGAGCTTTTTGTGCCCGTGCCTTCTGTCAAATAGAACAACAGGCTTTCTTAGCAGGGATTCAAAAATCTCATGCCATCGATATGTGCTGTATCTCCAAACCCGCATACAGGACATCATCATCTCAAAATAAGAACCATCTCCATTTACGCCTCGCGAATCTGGAAGCATCACTGCTGCTGCCCGGGACCTCGCCGGTGTAGGTTTAGCATTGAGTTTTAAAGCAGAAGTAGCACTCTTAGGCTGGATCCTAGTAGGCAGTTGGTTGTGCTCTGTCCGACTAAACAAGGCAGTAAGGACCCAAAAAGACGGACACTCACCATTGCATCTTCTTTGTCTCAGCCTACGCTCCCATTGAATGCAGCTCAGATGTGGTAGTAAGTAGGCTCTAACGAAAGCTTTCCAAACTTTTCAAAAGCCAAACACTCTGATGTAATAATAATGGCGGGTGACTTTGATGCTCAGGTGAGTAGACGAAGCGAAAAGGAAAGACACCTGGGTGGATATTATGGCGTCACAACTTGAAAAACGGATAATGGCGGCCTTCCGCTGCAGCCATGCCCAATAACCGCCTATTTCTAGCCAGAACTTACTTTAGTCATAAGGAAAAACATCCCATGACGTGGCTAACCTTCAGAGTCGTCTAAATGCTAGACCTAACTAGACCATATCGCTATCAACCACCGATAGAGAGGCCCAATAGAAGATTGCCGCTCGTTCTGGAGCACATGTTTAGATTCAGATCATGCTCTAGTACGAGCGCACATTTGCTTGCAACGAAACCCCTTAGAGTTCTGCATGACTACGACAAAGCCAAAAGTATATTTCAGGAACAACTAGAAAAAGTTGGGTAACCATGTGAATGAAACCCACCCTGAGGAAGCTTGGAATGATATTCAAAAAGCTGTGGAAACAGCAGTGACATCTATCGGCAAGGTAAACAATAAGGTTGAGGAGAAGCAGTGGACTTCAGTAGCATCTACCTAACTGATAGACTCTCGGAAACTCATCCCGTCGGCTTAAGCACAAGCTGGTAAGAAGCTTACGCAATGATCGCAAACAGTGGTTGGTAGCGAAAACAGAAAAGGTCAAAAAATTAACGACAGTAGGTATCAGTAGACAACTGTTCAGAATTATTAAGGAAACTGGTATTAGAAATCCGACCGTTAGCGAGACACAATCGGAAAAGGATAGGACTATTAGTCATTCTCGATCCAGGAGATCAGATCGATAGGCAAAACAGTTTATGGAGCAGTCCAACTGCCCTTCAGCAACACTTCAGTCACCCACCATCTTCAGTTAGCCTGAATGGTAAGTTGATGTAGGCCCTCCGACTCGTAATGAGGTTGAAAAGGCTATAGGCAATCGAAGGAGAACAACAGGTCATGACAAAATCACCTCTGAGATTTTTTAGGATATAGTGGTCCAGTCCCAGCAGTTAGATTGAGAGTATACCTAGATTCTTGGAACTGGACGTAATCCAATCTGAATTGTTTCAATCGCTGATTGTTCCAATCTATAGGAAAGGACAAAGTCCACCTGTGGCAATCACAGAGGAATCAATTCAACCAACATAGTGTTTATAAATACTAGTTCCATTGGTACTCCAACGTTTAACTAGAGCTCATGAAGAGCAGACTCGAAAAAACCAAGCTGGTTTCAGATCTGGACATGGATGTACAGACCAGATATTCACACTTCGTCAGGTCCTAGGACATAGAAACACGTTCAAACGTCAGATATTAGTTATATTCCTTCACCTTAGGGTAGAATTTGACTCTGCTGATCGTGAGGTTCTATGGCAGTGTCTGTCACTGAAATAAGTACCAGAGAAATACATCAAGCTCTCTACTTGAACATTACTGGCTAAGTGAGAGTATGGAGATCTGTTATCGGAACTGATTACTACAAGTGGTGTTCATCAGGGTTGTACACTTTCTCCATTCTTATTCAACCTAGCCATGGACTTGCTTTTAGAGATAACATTATCTTCGTCTGACTTTTCAGGAGTAGACCTTTTACTAAGGGACACAGAGCAACAAGGCAAACACGTTCGGGATGCGATTCTCGCCGTCGAAATGCAGAATATTGCTTCAGGATCGGCTTACGTCGGCACCTGAACTAGTAATAGTGAGTGAAGTAGTTAAGCGTGTTGACCGATTCACTTATCTTGGGAGTCTCATCAGTGCTGATGACCTGGTGTGTGATGAAATCTCAGCACGGATACAGAAAGCTCGGTTGGCTTTTGCCAACTTCCTTTACTTAAGACGTAGGCAAGATATCCGTCTGCTAACCAAAGGACGAGTGTACTGCGCAGTAGTTCGCTCTGTCCTACTATACGGATGCGAAACATGGCCGTTAAGAGCAGAAGATATTCGTCGGTTACTAGTATTCGATCATAGGCGCATTCGTAGCATTGCCCATGTATCCTAGGATCATCGAGTAAGCAATGTTGGTGTTAGGAAAAGGGTACTAGTTAAGAATGGCAAATCCATTGGTAAGTAGTGAATCTTCATCAGTTGAGGTAGTTTGGGAATGTTACGTATGTCTAACCACCGACGAGCGATGTTTTGTGGTGTAGTAGTATGGAGGAAAGCTAGGAGCGTCCAGACCAAAACATGGCATAAATCCATAAAGTCATTAACAAGTGGACTGAGTCATGTTGGTGAGTGTATACCACTTGGTTGGGTTTCTTGTGACAATGGTGACCGATGGTTAAAGACTTTGAATGATATGACTCAGAATCGCTTGCAATGGCACGAGTGCATCTATTCTTTGTCTTCTCTGAAGTTCTAATCTTCTAAATTCCTCATGACCTTCATCTTTCGCTTCTGAAACTTATTTCACTGAACTGTACTCCTTGAATAATATATTCGAACCCTAATCTTTCCCACTACGGTTATACTGCTATATTACCTCTACCACTAAGGAATTCGAATTGACAACTGCATCTCTATGCTAATCTGATATGGCAATTTGAAATGATGTACGTACATACCGGTTTCTACGTAACTGTTGACTGACTGGCTTTTAATGGTTTTATTGCTGAATATAATTCCAGAAGTAAAATATTTTAAAAGTGAAATGTTCAATAAAATTGCATGCAATGTAAATAAGTTCAATAATGCTGCGCATGGGCTTAGTGAAAATTTAAAGTTAGCAATACGAGACTACGTTCAAACACTTTAAAGCGAGAAGTTAAACGTCTAAGAAGACAAGTGGTAATGGTTGAGAAAATCCTGAACCAGATGGTCGGTAGTATTTATGTTCGCAACAAGTCTCGGGTTTTATTTAGCTGAAGATCAGAGTAGTGCATTGATAGGGAACTTCGTATAAAAATTTGTCGTGATAGCGACTTTCAGTAGTTATTTAGTTTGGTTGAAACTAATCGACTTTCTAAACTGTTAACCTGAGGGAGACAATGTGACACAAAAATGGAAATATACTAAAATTTCTTGACTGACAAGGCAGCTACAAGATACCAGAAAATTATTTACCTGGAATAGGGCCTTTATGTGTCCATTGTTTAAAACGAAGTCCAGAAACAATGTCTCGTTGTACAAAGAACTCTATCTGAACACGATAACTGCATCCTTCGACGATTTGGACAGGTTTCAACTTAAGAGTGGAGAGATCACCTGAAATTCGAACAAGATAACGAAAATAACATTTTTAGACAAAAGAACTTTTCCGACTGACAAATCTAGACAACCACCTACAAATGAAGCCGAGTATGCTAAAACCAATTGGTTGAAATTTTTACATTCCAAATAGATATGAATGTAGGTGACACAGAAAACCGCCTGGAGACCTGAGATTACTACCAACCCCAAGTTCAAGTAAAAAAGAGTTGTATATGAGTTTAGCCACCTCATGTCACGAGAAAGCCTTGCTAATACACTCTGAAACGTTGAAAAAAACGGGTATCGATCTAAAAGTTACCAAACACATCAGCATAATATACGATGTGAAGATTGAAAGGTGTCACTAGTTTACTTTAAAAGTAGTGAAGGAGCATCCAATTGATGTTAACACACCGACAACCGAAGTGGAAAGGAGACCCTAGGACAGAAGTGATTGTAGATTGCTAATCGGTGGTCTTTGCTCCACAATGGGCAACAGGCGTAAGAAAACCTCCATAATATCTTAGTCCACTTATAAATCCAATGTGGCGCATAAATATCTAGGCGACCCTCTGAACAGAAGTTAATACGCTTATACAAGTAGTAAAATAATTATGTAGTTTCAAACCCACCATAAAGATTACTGTATACTGACAAGGATCTCAGTTAACTCATACAGTGGTACAATGTGCATAATTAATTCAAGTTGTAGAACAAGAAAGCCTTATAAATTCAAACAGATTATAATGTTTAAAGAAGCTGAGGGGATAGGTACTGTGAGTCATTTTGTATCCTAATAATTATACACCGAGAATCCCGACCGAAGCTGCTACCTTGATGTGGTGGATGGTCTTATTATTCATTGTCAATCCAGGAGATTGGATCGATGGGCAGAACACTTCAGGGATCAGTTCAACTGGCCTTCAGCCACACGTCCGTTGCCTACGGTCCCCAGCCATCCTGAATGACACATCGATTCAAATCCTCCGAATCTTTATAAAGTAGAGAAAGCGATAGGAAATCTAAAGCGAGGGAAAGCAGCGGATCCTGATAGACTGACATCTGAGATATTTAAGGATGGTGGTCCAGTTTTAGCAGCTAGGTTGACCGAGTCCTTAGGTAACATCTGGGAACAAAAAATCTTCTTGTAACAATCACAGGGGAATCAGTCTAACTAACATAGTTTCTAACTTGTTAGCCGTCACGGATGTCCACTCTCTCCATTTTTGTTTAATGTTGTCATAGACATGCTTCTAGATGTAACGTTATCTTCGTTCGACTTTTCAGGAGTCGACCTTCTACCAGGAAATTCGCCTACTGGCTTAGAATATTCCGATGACATAGTTCTATTCGGTACCGTAGCTGCTACCTTGACGTGGTGGTCGGGCTTGCCTATCGTGATGACCCAACCGAGCTATACTGGCTGGAATATATATTCCTCGAGGTTCCACCATGCCAGACAGGTCGATTGGAGAACGATGAGACTAAAAGCAGCTACCCAAGGTCTGAGGGCGAAGTCGTACTGCTGACTGCAGAGGGTTGTGACAGCAGTAAGGTGTTTCCCTCAGACAACCAGCATCTGCAGCGATGCTGCCTTCTCACAAGGAAGGAAAAGTTAGAAAAGGTCGACCCTAAAAATGTCACACCTCCCCTAACTCACGGATTTCCGTCTCCTTGGGTAAGGGTGCCCACTAAGGGCCTTTAAGAACGGAGCTAATCCTCGAAAAACATTTCATAAAAAGGCCGTGCGTGACCGGCCTCAAGCAGTTGTCCCTTGGGCTCTGCGGTCACGCACCAACACTAATCTATCTTCCTTTTCAGGTTCCTCAAGAAACAACCTTCCACGGTGTGGGCAGCCGGGAAGCGACAACCGCCCTCATACCCGTAACAGCACGCGAGACCAAATTGGTCAAACTCAAATCCTTCCTACACCCCCTAGTACCTCTCTTATCTCCACGACTAACTCTTCTCACATTCATTCATCACAATGCACAGCTAATGCAGACGATACGAGTTCGCGAAACGTCGTTCCTGGTCTCCTTAAACCTCGCTCTAGACTACATGTTGGAGCATTTAATGTACGGACATTGTGTCAAATAGGGCAACAGGCTTCCTTAGCTAGGACTTTAGAATCTCGTGCCATCGATGTATGCTGCGTCTCGGAAACGCGCATACAGGATCCGAGTCGCGTCATACACTTGGCCACACCATGTCAAAATAAAGAAGCAGCTCGATTTACTCTTCGTGTATCTGGTAGCCCTGATGCTGCTTCCAGGGGTCTTGCTGGCGTAGGCATAGCATGGAGTCGTAGGGCAGAACAATCTCTCCTTGACTGGATCCCAATAGATAGTCGATTGTGCGCTGTCCGACTAAACGGGACAGTAAGGACTCAGAAAGATAAGGACAATCGCCGTTGCCTCTTCATCGTATCTGCCTATGCCCCCACTGAATGCAGTTCAGACGAGGTTAAGGATAAGTTTTACAGGAAGCTTTCGGACCTCCTCCAAAAAGCCAGGCGCTCTGATATAGTAATAATGGCTGGTGACTTTAATGCTCAAGTAGGTAGACTAAGTGAGCAGGAGAGACACCTAGGTGGTTGTTATGGTGTTGCGGCTCAGAGAACAGACAATGGTGACCGTCTGTTGCAAGTATGCTCAGACAACCGCCTATTCTTAGCAAACACTAACTTTAGCATCTGTTGACCTGGAGACCTCCAAAGTCGTCGTCGTTGGACTCAACTAGATCACATCGCCATCAGTCACCGATGGAGGGGTACGATAGAGGACTGTCGCTCGTTCTGGAGCACATGTTTAGATTCAGATCATGCCCTAGTGCGAGCCCGTATTTGTTTGAAGCTTACTGGGCGTAGGAAAAACACCGTAAGAAAGCCTCTTAGGGTTTTACTTAATGATAATAAGGCGAAAAATATATTTCAGGAACAACTAGAAAGACAGTTAGGCGACCATTTAAGCGGTTCCCATCCGGAAGTAGGATGGAATGATATCAAAAAGGCTGTGGAAACAGCAGTGATATCTGCTAGTAAGGTTGACCATAAGGCTAGAATGAAACCGTGGATCTTAGTAGCATCCACCGATCTGATGGATGCCCGAAAACTCATCCCACCTGGCTCTGAACATGATGAAGAACGAAGTCAACTTAGGCGCAGACTTATAAAAAGCCTACGTAACGATCGCGAACAGTGGTGGGTGGCGAAAACAAAAGCGATGGAAAAGGCAGCGGCGATCGGCAACAGTAGACAACTTTTCCGACTTATCAAGCAAACTGGTATTAGGAATCCTAGTGTAAGTGAGACTATCTCAGAAAATGACGGGACTCTCATTTATTCTCAATCCAGGAGACTGGATCGATGGGCAGAACACTTTAGGGATCAGTTCAACTGGCCTCGAGCCACTCTTCAGTTACCCACGATCTCCAGTCATCCTGAATGGCAAATCGACGTAAGTCCCCCTAGTCTTAATGAAGTTGAAAAAGCGTTAGGAAATCTGGAGCGAGGACGAGCTGCAGGTCCTGATAGACTGACCCCTGAGATATTTAAGGATGGTGGTCCAGTTTTAGCAACTAGGTTGACTGAGATCTTAGGTAGAATCTGGGAACTGGACGTAATCCCATCCGACTGGTCTCAATCACTGATTGTCCCAATCTATAAGAAAGGACAGAAGTCTTCTTGTGACAATCACAGAGGAATAAGTCTAACTAATATAGTATCTAAAATATTGGGCTCAGTAATACTTCGACGCTTAACGAAAGCTCGTGAAGAGCAAACTCGAGAAAACCAATCTGGTTTTCGACCTGGACGTGGCTGTATAGACCACATTTTCACACTACGACAGGTCCTGGAACACAGACACACATTTAGGCGTCCTACAATAGTTGTTTTCCTGGACTCAGTGGATCGTGAGGTTCTGTGGCAGTGTCTGTCATTGAAAGGTGTACCAAAGAAGTACATTAACCTCATACAAGCTCTCTACTCAAACACCACTGGTCGAGTGAGAGCTTATGGCGAACTGTCACCGGAATTCTCTACTTCAAGTGGTGTCCGTCAGGGATGTCCACTTTCTCCATTCTTGTTTAATTTTATCATAGACATGCTCCTAGACATAACCTTATCCTCGTCTGAATTTTCAGGAGTAGACCTTTTACCAGGTGGCTCGCTTATTGACTTAGAATATGCCGATGACATAGTCCTACTTGGTGAAGACGCTGACAAAATGCAGAGTCTTCTGACTACCCTAAGCAACAATGCAAGCATGTTCGGGATGCGGTTTTCCCCGTCGAAATGCAAAATGTTGCTTCAAGATTGGGTTCCATCGGCACCTGAACTAGTGATAGGGAGTGAAGTGGTCGAACGTGTAGACCGCTTCACTTATCTTGGGAGTCTCATCAGTGCCGATGGCCTGGTGACTGACGAAATCTCAGCTCGGATACAGAAGGCTCGTTTGGCTTTTGCCAACCTGCGTCACTTATGGCGTAGGCGTGATATCCGTTTGCTGACTAAAGGACGAGTGTACTGTGCAGTGGTTCGCTCCGTCTTACTTTATGGCTGTGAAACATGGCCAATGAGAGTAGAAGATACTCGTCGGTTATTGGTTTTCGAACATAGGTGTCTTCGAAGCATTGCTCGTGTATCGTGGGACACCCGAGTGAGCAACGCTGTTATTAGGAAACGGGTACTGGGTAAGAATGGCAGATCAATCGATGAAGTGGTGAAACTTCATCAGTTGGGGTGGTTGGGACACGTGTTGCGTATGCCTAACCACCGACTGCCTCGTCGAGCTTTGTTTTGTAGTGTAGGAATAGGTTGGAAGAAAGTTAGGGGCGGCCAGACCAAAACATGGCAGAAATCCATGAAGTCATTGACAGGTGGACTGAGCCATGTCGGTAATTGTCGACTACCTGGTTGGGGTCCGCGAGATGATAATAATCGATGCTTAGAGACCTTGAATGACATGGCTCAAAACCGTTTGCAATGGCGCCGTTGCATTTATTCTTTGTGTTCTCTCAAACCCTAATCTTCTGGGTTCTTCAACACCTCTAGTTTTTACTTTCTAAACTTATCTCATTGAATCATACTTCGTGAATAATATCTTCTAATCCTAACCTCTCCGATTACTTCTAATTCCCTTACTACCTCTTCTACTATTGGATTTGAATCGACAATTATATCTCTGTGCTGATGTGGTATGGCGACATGAACTGATGTACTTACGTACGAGGTTCTACGTTGCAACTGACTGACTGACTATTCGGTGAAGACGCTGACAAAATGCAGTCTTCTGACTACTATAAGCAACAATCCGAGCATGTTCGGGATGCGGATTTCCCCCTCTAAATGCAAAATGTTGCTTCACGATTGGCTTGAGACTTCACTAGAACTAGTGATAGAAAGTGAAGTCGTTGAACGTGTAGACCGCTTCACGTATCTGGGGAGTCTCATCAGTGCTGATGGCCTGGTGACTGACGAAATCTCAGCACGGATACAGAAGGCTCGATTTGCTTTTGCCAACCTGCGTCATTTGTGGCGCAGGCGAGATATCCGCTTGTTAACCAAAGAACGAGTGTACTGTGCAGTAGTTCGCTCTGTCCTACTATACGGATGCAAAACATGGCCGTTAAGAGTAGAGGACACTCGTAGGTTACTAGTCTTCGATCATAGGTGTATCCGGAGCATTGCTCGTGTATCCTGGGACAACAGAGTAAGCAACGCTGTCGTTACTAAACGAGTTCTAGGTAGGGATGACAAACCAATAGATGAAGCATTGAAACTTCATCAGTTGAGGTGGTTGGGACATGTGTTACGTATGCCCAACCACAGACTGCCGCGACGAGCTATGTTTTGTGGTTTAGGAGTAGGTCGGAAGAAAGTCAGGGGCGGCCAAACCAAAACATGGCAGAAATCCATGAAGTCAGTGACAAGTGGACTGAGTCATGTTGGTAGATGTAGGCTATCTGGTTGGGGTCCTCGAGACGAAAGTCACCAATGGTTAGAGACCTTGAACTACATGGCTCAGAATCGTTTGCAATGGCGCAGGTGCATCCACTCTTTGTGTGCTTTTTAATTCTAACCTTCTGAATTCCTCATAATCTCTATCTTTCTCCTTCCGAATTTTTCTCACTGAATTATACTTTTCGAATCATATCTTCGGTCCCTAATCTTCTCCATTACTGCTAATACTTCTACTATCGCTATCACTCTTGGATTTGAACTGACAGTTGCATCTCTGTGCTGATGTGGTATGGCAACATGAACCGATGTACTTACGTACGAAGTTCTGCGTTGTATCTGTCTGTCTATAAACCTGGAATATAGATGAGTTGATCCAAGTTGCTATAGTATATTTTGAAATACTGAAATAACTGAGTGTGAAGCAGATAGATCTTATCTCTACACTTAAACTGGAATATAAACGCATTACTGAATAACGATTCCTGAGTACTCATAATTGCCCTTCTTTTGTATTAACGCTTAAATTTATTCGTTTACGATACAAGAATCTTGATAGACAGTCAACAATGTTGAGAAAATAGGCCAGTGGAAAGCTTTTTGATCCAAGTGCAGAAGAGGAATGGTACTTTTAAATGTTGCAGATCAATAAAGTAAAATTCATTTTAAATTCTGTTTACTTCACTTTGCGGCAACGATACTACTAGTTACCACACCTAGTGACACGAAAATGTCTGCTTGGTATCACACTACAGCTTTGAAGTATGGTCTAAGTAAATATAGGGTATGCAGTGGCTACATATTTCTGATCACAAGTGTCAAAAGTATGGTGTATCGTGCAACAACTGGGTCATCAAACGCCGACGTGGGGTGGTGAGGATGGGAACTCGGCCAGTGAGGGTGTGAATCTTCACTGACTGAAGCTTACAGACCAGTCACATATTTCAAACCAGCCGTTGTGCCATGCTGGAATTAAGAACGGTTGGAAGTTAGCGGAAATCAGACCCAGATTAAGAATCAGTTGTGAAGCGATTGGTTGTTAGACTGTATTGCATTAGTGGATACAGACTGTCTGATTGATTTTAACACTGAAAACCGGCTGGAACCGATTACATTGATGCAAACTCGTTAACCGTTTGTGTCTATAGGCCTACGATATCATTATCCTTATTATCTGTTTTCTCGGATTAACCGCCTACTTGAGATTTCTTAAACATTGAAATTGAACTTTTCGGACGCATTTTGTTAATTGCATCTTACCGTGCTCGTGTGGTTTGGTAATGCCGGCTGGGACCTATTAAGGTCAGACTATACATCCAGTCGCGAAAGCTATTGATAAGAATCGTAACCGTGATCATATTGCAGTTCAATCTAAAATAGTATCACCATTGCCACAGCCTAAACACTATGATGAAATACACCGCAAGATACTAAATTGGTTCCAAAATACTTTGGATCAAAGTTTACTCAACAGTGCAGTAACATTTTAGCAAGTACAATAAAAAAAACATGACCAGACATACCCCGAAGGTCAAAAATAATATCTGCTTGCCCATCAATGAGAATATAGAACTTTTGGAATACAACGTTTGAAGGGTTATCTGGAACTGTATAGAAATTAGCATCTGAGGTTAAACATACAGGGAACTTCAAAATTGCCGAGAGCTGGACCGAGAAGTGCTTGTTTGTACCTTTGTAAACTTTCATCTTCTTTATCTAGATCCTTTAACTCCTCCAGAGTGCGTTTTTCCGGTGCTTTGTATTTACTTTTAACACCATCATCAAAGTCACCATCATCATACTGCTCCGCCATTCTTGAAAGCACCACGAAAATAGCGACTTGAGGAGTGAGAGAACTCTGATGCATTAAAAGTATTAGGTGCCTAACAAGTTATAATTAAAGTCGAATGCAAAGTTTCTACTTAGTCTCCACTTTGTTGGCTGATAGTATAAACTATAATACTTAGTTGACTACGGTTTGATATGTACCTCGATTTGGGAATGTCAGTAGCTTTTATGGTTTGTGTTAATCCTGGTGATAGAGATTTATCAAATAGTCAGACTTTCCTTCGACAGTGTAGATACATGGATTTCCAACATTATTCTGGTTTGAATAGTCGGTTTTAGGCTTTTAGACTTTTCTTAGGTATTCTGGAAAACAAGAAAAATGAAGACATGTGGGACACAACTATTAATCAAACGTTTAAATGCTATGTTCAGGTTATATGAAACTAATGTTTACGATCAGTCAAATAGATTTGTTTCATCCAGTATCTCGTCATACATATACAATGCCTCTCCAAAAGTGAGCTTATTTGCAGTCCTTCAAGCTCTCACCAACCTAGTTTTTCTTTAAATATGAGGGGACTTACCGTAGGTCATACTTCTGAAATGCAACATCTCTAAGTAATCTTCAAAGACAACTCACCTGAATTACTGCCCAACCGTTCAAGGTTTAGTTTTGCCTTCATTTAAATGTGACAATCAAGAACAACCGTATTTCGTTTGCCAAATAGTAATTCCCAAAAATGTCCAGTTAGTTCCCTATTGGTCACGAGTGAACCAGTATTGATTTTAGAAATAATTCCGTGACTGTAATCGAACGTATTATAATTTCTACCGAGTTTCGTATTAGAAAGGACAGGAGACTAGATCGCCTGTGTCAGCCATCACAATGTTAGTCTTGTAACGAATCCTTTTTTATGAAGAATACGCGATAGGTTTAATAGAAACATTCATTGTTATAACCAATTGTGTCAGTGATCGTTTTACTGTACGTTTGTACGCGCGAAACTTCTATTTGCGTTGCTGCCATTTGGCTCCACCATCTCCCTCGTTTCGCCCCTCCTTTCTGGCATGATTTCTATATTCCTTTGACACCACGAAATCGCCAGCAAATAGATTCTCTTGTATGGATTATTTATCTTCTCTGTGGTGATTTTCTGTATTAGTGATCATAGTCGATCTCGATACGACTTCATTACAGTCTCACAATCGATCCAACTTTCTCCTGAATGCGTCAAGAGATGGAGCTTCAATTACGTGTTGAGGTGACAAGTTCTATTCAGTAACGTCTCAATAGAAAAGTCGATAGTTAACGGACAAACAACTTTTTGAGCTTATGAACCATTTTCAATGTGTTCTCAAGTTCACTGTTGGCAAACGAAAAAAATGATGACATATCAGTTTCATTATTCAGTATTTTAACAGTTGTAGTCATGCAGCCTTTGTTCCTCCTAAATAACAGTAGAACTAGGTGTATATCAGCCAGTTTCTTTTCTCAGGGCAACTTTCAGATGCCTGGAATCTTCTTGTTTGCGGCACTCTGAACTCTTCGGAACAGCTCAGTCCGATTTTAACTACGGCCTGGATGCTCGTATATCGTACTCAATTTTAGGACTAATATCCAGTAACGTAAAATTAAAGCGTCTCCTTAACAATTCTGTTGCTTCAGAGCTACTGTCGGTGAAATGAGTTTTACATTTCCTGAAAATGCATCTTTAGCCGTCGGAAAGATGTCAGCTGACGACGCTTAATAAAAATCTGCTTTTCATAAGTTAATATCATCTCATGGTGAGGGACTAGTTGAAGTAAAGATCCGGACTATCTAATGCTGCTAAATCTCGGAAATTTCAAGAGTTTAAGATGGTTTTACCATAAACATAACTGGTCTGATTGACTGATTAGATTAAGTTATTAAATCATACTAAGACGGGGACTAAGAGACTCTAGCCTTAACCATTCAATTATACTGAAATTCTAAACCATCTCACCTCACTTAAGGTGCAGCTGAAAATCGAGTAAAGAAATCTGTACTAGGTAGATAATTATCATAAGATACATGACCAAAAACACCTTTCATTTCCAGAATCAATAAAAAATGTTCAAGGGTTTTTAATCTTCTTAGCTACCCGCACTAGAGATGTCAGCGAGGGTTGAGTTTATCTCACCAATTATTCAACACGAATTTATCTTGATCATCAATAGCCACTGACAGGTTACTTGATGAAACAGATATCAGTGCTGTACTTTTTTTATTTCGCGTCGTTACTCTTTTTATACAGGTGAATAATAGAACTACTAGATTGGATATTGTGACTATTTGACTATGTAAATGTCTTTCTACAGTGGCCGTCCCAATTGGTTCCAATAGAGGCACTCCTGTACGCTTCTCCCAGCTCCGGGTCCCAACCAATTCAAAAAGGGCAAAATTCTAGGAGAAAACGTCTCTGTATTAGTTAAAAAATGGAAATACAAAGCATTACGGATATAGTGCTTCTTCCAGGGTAAAGTTACTCCGCAGAGTATCAGACACAATAACAATAAGTGACGCTAAGTCCAGCGGCCACTGCGTCCGTCCAAAAATGTGGCGGTAGCCATATTATATCAAATTTAAACAACATATGTACAGTTCAGAAGCAAACACAAAAACTTCAATATAAGTACAAAATATAGAAAGAATAACAATATACAATGATAAAATCTCAAATTGGAATCAAATAAAATACCAAAAATGTCAACAGAAAAAGTCCGTCATGTCATAGCAAAAATATGTAAACATGGAGGGATTTTCCAAAACACAAAACATTCAAAAAAGGATTCTACACCGGCCCGCAAAATCCCTCCATGCAAAAAGAGCAAGCGTTAATGACACTTTATTTAGGCTTCCCAGTTATCCCCTAATCCACACCGGAATAACGTGTAGGACTTACAGCAGTACGCCTACCCGCCATCCAACATGGATATGACCTATCGTGTTAACTAGGTACCTATACTTTCCCATCAGGCCCTCGATTCCCCTATCTATCGTGGAATGACCTAACGGTAGTATAAACCTTACCCAATTAACCCACACGAACATGAACAACACGTTGTAAAACTGGTCATATCCTATCCGGGAACTACATTCCCTATCATGGGGACGAGTCGCCAATCCACCACCACTTGCTCCGATCAGCAGATACAATGAAGTCCGTGATACTAACTTATCAACAGAAATTCTTGACCCGTAGATAATATGCAAGGGTGGGATCTCCAATTTTGACATTTCATCGTCTCCAGAAGACTTTAAGTAGCATGACGTGGGATCAGTATTTATCATTCCATCTCCCGATACAGAGGAGGTTTGATCAGTGTTCGTCATCGTCGGTAACTCATTTGTCACATCAGTGACATCCAGTTTATTATCAACGTCATCATGATTCCGTTCTGTCAGACAAGTCGCATCGATTCGGTCTGCATGTTCTTCATGTTCTGTTTCAGAGACACAAGACATATGCTCATCAATAGCATCGTCATCACACAACACTGTAGACTGGCTGTTACCATCAAACACTTTCTTCTCATCATCACTCGACTGACAGTCAACCGGAATATGAACAGTTACAGTTGCACAACCTTGTGCATCTTCAATCAACTTAACATTCGTGACGAGGTCCAATGACGTCGAAACACTAGGAGGCTCATTCGATGAAGTTGATAGACTAGTCACTATAAGTGGACTGCTGACACTTTCTGTCTCCTTATTATCACTGTCACTACTAAGGTTCTGATGGCTACTATTTCCATGGCTAGTCGTAGCATCCGAAAGAGCATGAGGTTTAGGCTTCTTAGTAATAGTAGCATCATGTTGTCTCCTAGGCTTCTTAGCCGTTACAGTACCACCATCACTTATCCTAGAATCTACTCTAGGTCCAGTTATATAATTTACCCTAACTGAAGGGTTCCGAAAATAAGCTTTATTCCGTTCAGACAATCCTGCCTGGGCCTTCGTCATATTTACTGAACTCATTAACCTCTGATTACTCGAATCCAAATAACCGTTCCAGGCTTTTCGAGCAGCTAAGAGGCTTTTAACATCACACACTTCGGATCCATCTTGATGCCTACACTTTTCACCTTTTTCTTTCTTTTCTATACTTAGAAAAGCCATCTTATCTGTTACACCAACCGGCTTCTTACTAGGATACGCATCAAGAGGTTTTACATCGTTACGGTCACATACTCGTCCTTCATCAGCGTATGCTTTCGTGATATAATTGACAAATTTCTTATCTTCCGAGCGTGCTTTAGGTAGAAACGAAAAATCCGAATGTCTCGCACGCAGACCACTAGTAGCTTCCGTATTATGTTCTGTTTTAGCCCGATAAGCTAATCTTCCAAACCTACTACTAGCTATCTTAGCACGAGACATAATAAATTCCGACAATTCGTTAAAATTAGGCTCTCTCTCCTCTTCGTCCCACTTGATTACTAGCTCTGCCCACTGGGCTTGCATTCGACGAGGTAAGAGCCTGACTATTCGTTCTAAAGTAACCATGGAATTAAGTTCCGTTGTGCAATTTAGCTGTTCTAAGGTTAAAGCGGCATTCTGCATTTTAATAGCCAAATTCGTCAATAATTCAGGATCATTAAAATCTACATTCCCAGTTCTAAATAAATCCTCTAAGGTTTCTCGGGCTATTACATGCGACTGTCCAAAGAGCTGTTTTAAAATGGCCTTAGCTCTCTTATATCCTGCTTGTGGATCCATAATAATACAGCCTTCAATCGCATTTTTTGCTTTTCCCTTACAATAATGAATTAAATACAATAAACGAACTTGGTCGTCTTTTATTCGGGGTTCTATAAACGTTTCGAATTGTCGCATGAACCTAAAATAGTCGCGAGACCTTCCATCAAAATATGAAAGTTCGACCTTAGGTAGTTGTAAACCCTCTATCGATGTCTTTCGTATCTGATCGGTCTCTGGTAACTTAGAACTCTCACTTAATCCTGGTTCCTTAATACCTGTCAACGGTGACTTACAATAATAAGTATCAGACATAACATGTGGGTTACCCATAAAAAAGTCATCAATAACGACTT